GGTATGAGATCAAGATGATTAATAGCTCAGCTCAAATGCTGCATTGTCAAGTTAATGAAAGAAGTAAAGGCTATCAGTTTATATTGACTGTAGTGTATGGCTTTAATACAGTTGAACAGAGGAAAAGTCTTTGGCAAGAAATGAATGCAATGTCAAAAGGTATTTCACAACCTTGGCTCATAGTAGGAGATTTTAATGTTATTATTTCTACTAAGGATAGGTTAGATGGAGTTCCTGTTACTAATAATGAGATAAAAGATTTTGGTGATTGTGTGAGAGATATAGGGGTTAATGAACTGTAGTGGACAACTAACTACTATACTTGGACTAATAAACAATGTGGGAGTGATGGAATATCTAGTAGAATTGATAGAGTATTTGGAAATGATGAATGGATGGACAAATGGGGACATGTTAATGTGGAATATGAGAATCCAAGCATATCTGATCATAGCTCTATGATGATATTACTTCAAAAAACTCAGCAGCAAGGGAAAGTTAGTTTTAAATTTTTCAATGTATGGACTGAACATGAGGGCTTTATGGAAATGTTGGAGGCTATTTGGATAAAAGAGTATGGACATAGCATAATGAAGCAGGTGTGGTGTAAGTTGAAGGATCTTCAGTATGCTTAAAAATAGTTGAATAGAAAAGAGTTCAAGTATATCGGGAAACAAATTGAGATGGCTAGATTAGAGATTGCCAAAGTTCAAGACCAACTAAATGAACAAGTTACTGATGAGTTAATTGTCCAGGAAAAAGAGTTGCTGATTAAACTTGAAAAGTGGTCAATGATAGAAGAAAGTGCTTTGAGGCAGAAGTCAAGGATAAGATGGATACAATTAGGGGATGATAACTTTTTCAGCTCAGTTATAAAGGATAGAACTCAAAAGAAACAAATAATAAGTATTATGTCTTTGAAGGGTAAGATGCTGTATGATCCACAGGAAATTCAAGATGAGTTTGTGATGTTTTATAAGAGTCTTATGGGATTCAGCAGGCAAGCTACCAGCCATTAATGATCAGGTGATGAAAAGAGGGCCTACCTTGACAAAGCAGCAGAGATTACAATTGTGTACTGCAGTAACTGAACAAGAGATTTATGATGGTTTGAAATCCATAGGGAATGATAAGGCTCCAGGTATAGATGGTTATAATGATTTCTTTTTTAAACATACTTGGCAGATCATTAAAGGAGATATCATTGAGGCTGTTAAGAGCTTTTTTACAACAGGCAAGCTACATAAAGCATTCAACTGTACTCTAGTGTCTTTCATACCGAAAGCTCAGAATCCTGAAACTGTGAAAGAATACAGGACAATAGCTTGTTGTACTGTGTTGTATAATATCATCTCCAAAGTGTTAACTAACAGATTACATAGTGTGATTCAGAGTATCATTTGTGATAGCCAGGCAGGGTTTATTCCAGGAAGGAAAATTGCTGATAATATTGTGCTTACTCATGAGCTAGTTAAAGCTTATACTAGGAAGCATATTTCTCCTAGAAGCATGTTGAAGATTGATCTATAGAAAGCTTATGATTCAGTGGAATGAGATTATTTGGAGCATGTAATGTTTGGTCTAGGCTTTCCAGAGATGTTTGTGCAATGGGTTATGATATGTTCAAAACAGTGAACTACTCCATAGTAGTTAATGGACATATTTCTCAAAGCTTTGAAGCAGCTAAAGGATTGAGACAAGGAGATCCAATGTCTCCTTTCTTGTTTGCTATAGCTATGGAGTATATCAGTAGGCTTCTTAAGAAGCTTAAAGATGATAAACAGTTCAAATATCATCCTAGGTGCTCTAAACTTGATATCACTCACTTATGTTTTGCAGATGATATATTATTGTTTGCTAGAGGAGATCTGGAATCTGTTAAACCTATCCAACTGTGTTTCTCTCAATTTTCTCAAGCCTCAGGGTTACACGCTAATCTAAATAAAAGCTCAATATACTGTGGAGGGGTTCAGAAGGAAGTCAAGCAACAGATTGTTCAACAACTAGGATATAACATGGAGGAACTTCCTTTCAAATATTTGGGAGTGCCATTATCAACTAAGAAGATGTCAGTGCTGCAATGGTATCCTCTCATTGAGAAAATAATGGCAATAATCAACTCTTGGATAGCTAAGAAACTATCTTATGCTTCAACTTGTTAAGACATTATTATTTGGTGTTCAATCTTATTGGGCTCAATTATTCATCTTTCCAGCTAAGATAATCAAGTTAATTAAGAGTTTGTGTAGAAGTTATCTATGGTCAGGAGTAGGGCATGTCACTAATAAAGCTCTAATAGCACGGGAGAGAGTTTGCAGGCCTAAAAATGAAGGAGGTATGGGGCTGATAAATATGCAAGTGTGGAATAGAAAAGCAATAGCCAAGATTTGTTGGGACTTAGCAAAAAGAAGACAAGGTTTGAATTAAATGGATTCATGTATATTATTTAAAAGGTCAGAATGAATGGAAGAAGAGAGATCAAGCAAGTTGGATGATCAGGAAAATAATGAATGCTAAACAAATAGTTGATCAGCTTCAACCAAAGCAGGGAAAAGGGATGATCAAACAAATCTATGATTATCTGAGAGGGGAGAAAACTAAGCCTGAATGGAGATGTCTAATGTTTAAGAATGCAGCCAGGCCAAAAGCTACCTTTACACTATGGATTTTGTTGAATAGGAAGCTAGCAACAGTGGATAGACTTGCTAAATGGGGAATAACACTTAATAAAACTTGTGTTCTGTGTAAAAATGTGGATGAAAGTCTGGATCATATGTTCCTTCATTGTCACTATGCTGGAGAGGTTTGGGAGAGACTTCTACAATGGATTGGTAATCATAGTAACAGGCCAAGGACATGGGCACAATTTATACAGTGGAGCATTCAAAATGGGAAAGGGAAGTCTACAAGAGCACAACTATTCAAGATTATTCTTGCTGAAGGAGTTTATGCTTTGTGGAATGAGAGAAACAAAAGAATTTTTGAAGACAAGAGTTGCTTGATAGATAATGTAGTTAAGAAGATAACCTATGTAACTATTGCGAGATCTTCTACTAGTATTAAAAATGTTATTATTCATAGGAAGATTTGAGTTATAGTTAGTAGTGTAGGAGTTAAAGTATTGTGTACTTTGGTTAAGCATGCGGTGATAGCTGCTTGTTTTGTATTGTTTGGACTCGGTAATTAATAAAAATTAGTTACCAATAAATAAATAAATAAATATAATAATAATAACAACAACAATAATAATAATATAATAATAACAATAACAATAACAATAACAATAACAATAACAATAACTAATGCTCACGACGCAGGTTAACTAACGTGCGTAGTGAAGGTGGAAAATGGCAAGGGGAAGAGGAAGAGGACGAGGAGAGGCCGAAAAACACCAATAATGACAGTTGGTAGCTCAGTTGGATCTCGAGTGGAAGCAATAGAGTCGAATCAGCAGGAACAAGCTCAAAATGTGGAAGGTAGTTTTGAAGAAAGAATATAGTGAGCTCAAAGTTTCTAGAAGATTGAGCTTAAACTATACATTAGAGAAAGAAGAAGTACATGAGAACTCAGATCTGGAACATTGTGATGTTGAGAACAAGGTAGAAGGCAATGGAACCGTAACTAGGAAGGAAGATGGGAATATTGAAGCTGCTGACAGTAATAGAGGTAATGGAGGGGAGATGAACAAGGATTATAAGGAACCTTGGGTTAATATGTTTAAGAATAACCGTGCAACTAACAATGGAATGAATTTGACTTATTTTCCTCCACAAATAGTGAATGGACAAACAATGGTTCAGCTGAAAGGGAAAGAGGTACAGGTTGAAGAAGAGAAGTGGAAATGTGCACTTATAGCTTATGTAATTGGAGAGTGTCCTGGGTATAATACCATGAATAGGTACATACTGATGAACTGGTCAAAAGTGTACAAGCCTGATGTATTTATTCATGAAGAAGGATACTACATAATCAAATTTAAGAACCCGAGTGACATGAATGAGGTACTATATTTTGGGCCATATACTATAAGCAATAGACCTATTATATTGAAGCAATGATGTTCTGATTTTGATTTTGGAAATGAGTTCTTAACTGAAATACCATTATGGGTTAACTTTCCGAAGTAGCCTCTTAATTGTTGGGGAGTGGGATCTTTGAGTAGAATTGCTAGTGCTATAGGAGTTCCATCATTTGTTGATGAATGTACCACAAAGCAAACAAGAATATCCTATGCTAGAATGCTTATTGAAGTTAATGTTACTAAGGCTATTCCTCAGCAGATAACAATCATGGATCCAAATGGTAGAACATTTATGCATGAAGTTGTGATGGAGTGGAAGCCTCTATATTGTGATAAATGTCAGAAGATTGGACATCAATGCCAATAAGTAACAATGGAGGAACTACCAAAGAAGAGAAGGCCATGGAAAAAAGTAACACACACTTGGCAATATAAATGACCAATTCAACAGCAGGAGAGGAAAGTTGAACAAAGAAAGGTGCCAGACCATATAGAAGATGATAATACTACTATTGTGCAGGAGGAGAAACAAGAGAAAGAACAAAGAGGAGAACAGGAAATCAAACAAACACCAGATCTTAATCTAAGGCCTAATACTGGAAGTAAGCATCTGGACTTCAGTTTGTCAAATTTTCCTATGTTATCAGCCATACCAATGAGAAATGAATTTGAGAGTCTCATGAATAGCAAGCTTGCTTCACTGCCTGTTGATAGAGGTGGAGCTTCAAAAACTTGTTAATGAAATGGAGTTTTTGGAATGTGAGGGGCATGAATAAAAGATATCAGCAGAAAGAGATAAAGCTATTTTTACAGAATAATAAGGTCTCCTTAGCAGGGTTAATTGAAACAAGAGTGAAAGAGGTTAATGTCAAAGCTACAATCAAAGGTATAGCTCAAGGATGGAGGAGTCTGCACAATTATAAGGAGGCTGCAAATGGTAGAATTTGGATAATACGGGATGAAAGTTGGTATGATATCA